CCATTTTGGTTGTCCATCTCTGGACACATTCTAGGTTATCTGTGTCCTTCCTGAATTGTGGTGCCCAGAATTGGACACAGTATTCCAGGTAAGGTCTGACCAGAACAGAATGGAATTGGACTATTATTTCCCTTGATAAACAGAAATCTCCTGTTGAGGTAACCTAAAATTACATTGGCATTTTATCTGCTGTTGACTAAACAGTGATCCCATGCAGTAGAAAGCATGTCCTGAAATACCTGCCATATGACAGAAAATTCACAGGTGATCTTCCAACTTGGCAGGTTTTGAAATCATTACCAGAATTGATTTTCAAAGATAATCTGCTGGTGATGGACATTTATAGTTCTTTATATGTTTGTTTATTATGTTACCTTCCTCTCAATATGGGAACCAAGGCAGCCCTTTGATAGATTTGCCTTAGAACTTGTGCGCCAGCTGCACCCGTACCTTGGGAAGTCTGACCTGGCCACGGTAGTCCACGCTCTGGTTACATCCCGTATAGACTACTGCAATGCTCTCTACATGGGGTTGCCTTTGAAGACTGCTCGGAAGCTTCAAATGGTCCAACGCTCGGCAGCCAGGATGCTAACAGGAGCAGCACTCAGGGAGCATACAATTCCTCTGTTGTGCCAGCTCCACTGGCTGCCGGTTTGCTACCAGGCACAATTCAAAGTGCTGGCGTTAGCCTATAAAGCCCTAAATGGTTCTGGCCCAACTTACCTGTCCGAACGCATCTCCTCCTATGAACCAGCTAGGACATTAAGATCATCCGGGGAGGCCTTGCTCACAGTCCCGCCTGCATCACAGGCACGCCTGGCGGGGACAAGAGATGGGGCCTTCTCAGTGGTGGCCCCTCAGCTGTGGAACACCCTTTCTACAGATATTAGATCGGCCCCCCTCCCTATTGGCATTTCGGAGGAAAGTGAAGACCTGGTTGTTCGGGCAGGCATTCGATTAGGCAGTGTAATGAACATAGGAACACGGAATAACGGATGATGAGATTGGATTGTGATTCTATTGATGAGACGCTAATGATTTGTTATATTGATGCTTAATTGTTTATTACGCTACTGTTTTAACTGTCCCTTAATTGTTTTTATGATGTTTAGCATTGAATTTTGCTGTTGTTAACCACTTTGAGTCGCCTAAGGGCTGAGAAAAGCGGTATATAAATGAAGCAAATAAATAAATAAATAGAATCTTTGTAGGTCAAAAACGATTTGAAGATACAACAACAAATGTGTAAAAGTACTGCCAAATAGAAAAGAAGAGAGATTGCCATACAGTTCAAGACTGGAATCCTTTTGCTGCACATTGTCCCCGGCAGAACCGAAGACGGACAGGTCACAGGTACGAATCCAGGGAGAGTGTGGATAAGCTCCTTCTGTCAGCTCCGGTTCCCCATGCAGGGACATGAGAGAAGCCTCTCACAAGGATGGTAAAACATCAAAAACATCCAGGTGTCCCTTGAGCAATGTCCTTGCAGATAGTCTATTCTTTCACACCAGAAGCGACTTGCAGTTTCTCAAGTTGCTCCTGACATGGAAAAAAACCATCTTCGTGGTTACACTTTTCAAGGTTTGCACAGTGATAGAGAACGCAAACAAAACCTGCCAGTTCCCTGAGCAATGTCCTTGCAGACAACCTATTCTTTCACAGCAGAAGCGACTTGCAGTTTCTCAAGTTGCTCCTGACATGGAAAAAAACCCATCCTCGTAGTTACACTTTTCAAGGTTTGCACAGTGATAGAGAAGGCAAACAAAGCCTGCCAACTCTGAAAAGCATATTTCTTCAATACCTTCAACCCTTCATGCCACCATGTCCATGGCCTTTTATTTCCTGCCTATCCTAGTGTTGTGCATCAATAAATTCTGGCCAAATTATTGTCCTATATTATCCACCCAAATTCTTTCTCATAGACAAGTGGGTTGAGACAACCAAGATAATTTCCAGTCTTAATTAAAAGCTTTCTCTTCATAGTTTTGCTGTGATTGTGACTTCCTGTTCAGTCAGTATTGGGTACACTTGTGAAGTGCCTCTTATCTTCCGTTCCAGAGAGAATGAGAGAGAAATTATCTTGCATTATTACTGCTCTATTAATTGGAAGGAAACTTGCATTTCAAGCTGCTTCCTTTTGAAAGGAACAGATTCTAATGAGAAGCAATTCATCACTAATTCCCCAGCTATCTGAACAGGTAGAAATAAAATGGGAAGAATGTATAAAAGTAGACAGCTTTTGATTAAAAAAAGGACTGCAGCCCTGAAAAACCCTAATCGTGTTTGACCCGTTCACCCTGGAGAGCCTGGTGCTATAATTGTGCTGTGGGTCAATGTTCCATTTCAAAATGGAAACATGTCAGATCTGAAAAACACAGGCAGACAACACAGAAAACATTGACATGCTTTGGCACCAGTAATGTGCAATCTTCACTTTTAAAAAAAGAGTTAGAAAGGGGTCCTTTTTTGTGTATAACTGAAATAATACTCAAACCAGGATGGACAGCCCTGGAAAATGTTTCCCAACAAAGTAACTCTTCCAAGTTCTGCTAAGAAGCAAGTGAACATTGGAAAAGAATTCCTTCAGAAAAGGACTAGTGTGACATAAAACAATCCAGGTGTTTGGATGCAATAATGGTTTTAGGTTTGTATAATGGACAGGTTTCTCTCATCTCTTCAATCAGGAGTGTTTGTTGTGGGGCGCTCCTAATGTTGTTGGATCACACGTCCCATCAGCCACCACCAGCTTGGTGAAGAATACTGGGAGTTGATTCCAACATCTGGAAGACCAAAGAATGGCCTTAATCAGTTGTTAAAAATTCAAAAAGGAAGGATGTTTGAATGCAGCTCCTTCGAACCCCCTGAGTTCCCCACTTTAGATTTAGCAGATCTAAAGTCTCCTTTTAGCTCTCATTTCATCAGCAGGATATTTTTATTCTAGGATTCATTTCAGAGGAGCCCCCAGTAGTGTAATGGATTGAAGACCAAAAGGTTGGAAGTTCGAATCCGAGGAGTGCACGGATGAATCATAGAATCAAAGAGTTGGAAGAGACCTCATGGGCCATCCAGTCCAACACCCTGCCAAGAAGCAGGAATATTGCATTCAAATCACCCCTGACAGATGGCCATCCAGCCTCTGTTTAAAAGCTTCCAAAGAAGGAGCCTCCACCACACTCTGGGGCAGAGAGTTCCACTGCTGAATGGCTCTCACAGTCAGGAAGTTCTTCCTCATATTCAGATGAAATCTCCTTTCTTGTAGTTTGAAGCCATTGTTTTGCGTCCTAGTCTCCAGGGAAGCAGAAAACAAGCTTGCTCCCTCCTCCCTATGACCTCCTCTCACATATTTATACATGGCTATCATATCTCCTTTCAGCCTTCTCTTCTTCAGGCTAAACATGCCCAGCTCTTTAAGCCGCTCCTCATAGGGCTTGTTCTCCAGACTCTTGATCATTTTAGTCGCCCTCCTCTGGGATGAGCTCCCTCTGTCAACTCCAGCTCCCCATGCGGGGACATGAGAGAAGCCTCCCACAAGGATGGTAAAACATCAAAACATCCGGGCGTCCCCTGGGCAACGTCCTTGCAGACTGCCAATTCTCTCACACCAGAAGCGACTTGAAGTTTCTCAAGTCATTCCTGACACAAAAAAGTCTTGCAGAGAGTGTTTTTATGGGCTGTGTGTATGCTGTATTTTAAAAATCATCATCCTTTTAAATTACTGATATTTTCACATGATTCCTATTTTTTCCGTCAGAACCATATGAAATTAATAAGGTGATTCTAAGTTGACAAGTGTTTTGAAAGCATGCACACAAAACCTTTTTATCATCTGGTTTTTAGTTGTGTTTCATCATTATTAATTATAGTTATTATTATCAGGGGCATTTCTTGAGGGGTTTCATAGGATGGGGAAACAGCAATTAAAGTGGTAGCAAAGTGCTGCAATCATATATTGTATGAGTGCTTCTACACTGTTGAATTAGTGTGGTTTGACGCCACTTTAACTGCCATGGCTCAATGCTATGGAATCGTGAGATCTGTAGTTTTACAAGATCTTTTACCTTCTCTACCAAATAATGCTAGTATCTCACTGATCTATAACCAAACTGATTAGTCCCAAAAAGTAACTTTTCCAAGCTCTTGCAAGAACTGGGTCATCATAATATTTTATGATGGCACAGTGGGTTAAACCTCTGTGCCGGCAGGACTGAAGACCAACAGGTCGCATGTTCAAATCCAGGGAGAGACGGATGAGCACCCTCTATCAGCTCCAGTTCCTCATGCGGGGACATGAGAGAAGCCTCCCACAAGGATGATAAAAACATCAAATCATCCAGGCGTCCCCTGGGCAATGTCCTTGCAGACAGCCAATTCTCTCACACCAGAAGCGACTTGCAGTTTCTCAAGTTACTCCTGACATGACAAAATAATAATAATAATAATAATAATAATAATAATAATAATAATAATAATTTGCAATTTAAAACTATTTCTACCTACCCTTATTTATGGAGGGAATTTAATTTGTAGTGCCGGAATGCAAAACTTTCAGTATAAAATTACAGTTCTTATATAAGATGTGGACACATTTTAATGCAAGATGTAAAAAAATACCTGCATGCAGATTTTTTACTTGTGGTTGTTGTGTGCTGTCAAGTAATTTTCCAATTTATGGTGACTTATCACAGTGTTTTCTGGGGCTGAAAGAGTGTAGTTCGGCCAAGGTCGCCCAGAGGGTTTTTATTGCTGAGCTGACACTCAAACCTAGTCTCCTGAGTCATAATCCAAGGCTAATACTACTACACCACACTGGTTCTCTTTTCACTAACCTAACTTTGATTCTTTAGAGATTAATTACATGTGCTGCATTTCTCCATTCAATAAACTGATCCAAAGGTGGAAAGAAAAGTGTCATTTTAGTGACTCCATAAGAAAGAGAAAAAGCAGGTCTTCAAGAAACAGTAAAGGATGGAAAGAGAAAAGGTATACCCATTAAAATATACCTGAGTTGCTCGCCTGCAATCATGACTTCAGCTCTGTGATGCCTCTCTGTGGCTTTCTGTTTTAGGATGCTGCTGAGACTGTCCATTCCTGCCCATCAATGGCAACAAAGGCAGAAACTCCTTGGCAGCTTTCTGGGAATTGCTTTGCCTCTCTGTATCCAGAGCAGCTTCCTGCCAGAATCGTCTTATTAGCACTTCATTAGGAGAGGCAGCCCAAGCAGCGGCTGCTGACATTTCCCTGGCTAAAGAGAAAGAAGGGGGAGGCGGCTGGAAAGCAGAGAAGTTAAACAAGGCCTGCCTCCTACTTTCTCCCTGATGCTGCTCCGCCTTGACTGTTGGCAGCCAGGTAGAGACACATGAAGCAAAGCCGGGTTTACCTCCTAAAGGGAAAAGTCAATGCAACAGGTCCTCAAGGGCAGCCCTTATCCAAGCAGAGATTGGAAAAATTGCTCTTCTCAGGATAACACCCAGAATCTCCAAAATGAGGGATCCAGGGAGCTCAAGCCCATAAGGCAATCTTTCCAAACTTTGCTCCACCGAGGAAAGTCAGATGGTTGTTGGAATCCTACAAGCATGAGGTAGACAAAGCAAAGGTGGTGTAGCAATGAAGGTGCAGGACCAAGAGCTGGGACATCATGGGCCATATGAGTTTATTTGAATTTTGGGAACTTCAAGAGAAGGCTGACTCTCACTCCTTCCACTATGTATTTAAGGAAGACATGGGCTTCTAACTGGAGCTAATTATAGGGAACGTACAACACCCCTATTAAAGCAGCTCCACTGGCTGCCGATCAGTTTCCGGTTCCAATTCAAGGTGCAGGTTATGACCTACAAAGCCCTAAACAGTTCAGGCCCTGCCTATCTTCATGATCGCATCTCCCCCTATGAACCGGTGAGGGCTCTAAGATCTGATGCAGAAGCCCTCCTCTTACTTCTACCACCATCACAAAGACTTCTAACTTTGAAATGCCCACCCCAGGGAGATTAGACTAGCCCCCACTCTGTCCTCCTTCCATAGGGACTTGAAAATCTGGATGTTCCAACAAGTTTTCAAGAATGATTAGTCCCTAGGCTCAGTTCCCAGGTAATCAGATAGTACTGGTCTGCACTTCATCCACTTCCACCGCCCTATGATGTGCTGTTTGCAGTATCCCATGCCCAGCCCTTTTATAGTTGGCCCATGTCCATTTAATAACCCTGGCCATTGATTTTGTTGAACCTCTATGGAGCTACAATGTGTTTTATGTGTTTGAGTAAAAAAATGAATTTTATGATGTTTTCAGTTGTTGTTATTTTGTCTATCCATTTAAATAGGTTGTGTTATATTGCTGAATGTTTTTATTTTGATGTAATTGTTTGTATGGTTTCTTTCTGGCAATTAATTGTTTGCTTTACATCTTGGAAACCACCCTGAGTCCCTTTGGGAAGATAGGGCGGCATACAAGTAAAAATTATTATTATTATTATTATTATTAAGGTGGCTTTTTGAGTGGCTGCTTCCAGGAAGTGGATCTCCCAAAGGAGATGGCATTGACTTCATTTTTTTCCTTCTTCATTTGTCAGATGTGATGTGGCGGCAAAAAAAGCCAATGAGATTTTGGCCTGCATCAATAGGAGCCTAGTGTCTAGATCTTAGGGAAGTAATGCTACCCCTCTATTCTGCTTTGGTTAGACCACACCTGAATATTGTGTCCAATTCTGGGCACCACAATTCAAGAGAGATATTGACAAGCTGGAATGTGTCCAGAGGAGGGCGACTAAAATGATCAAGGGTCTGGAGAACAAGCCCTATGAGGAGCAGCTTAAGGAGCTGGGCATGTTTAGCCTGAAGAAGAGAAGGCTGAGAGGAGATATGATAGCCATGTATAAATATGTGAGAGGAAGCCACAGGGAGGAGGGAGCAAGCTTGTTTTCTGCTTCCCTGGAGACTAGGACGCGGAACAATGGCTTCAAACTACAAGAGAGGAGATTCCATCTGAACATGAGGAGGAACTTCCTGACTGTGAGAGCCGTTCAGCAGTGGAACTCTCTGCCCCGGAGTGGTGGAGGCTCCTTCTTTGGAAGCTTTTAAACAGAGGCTGGATGGCCATCTGTCAGGGGTGATTTGAATGCAATATTCCTGCTTCTTGGCAGGGGGTTGGACTGGATGGCCCATGAGGTCTCTTCCAACTCTTTGATACTATGATTCTATGAATGAAGTTAAACCCTTGTGCCGACAGGACTGAAGACTAACAGGTTTGAATCTGGGGAGAGTGCAGATGAGCTCCCTCTGTCAGCTCCAGCTCCCTATGTGGGGACACGAGAGAAGCCTCCCATAAGGATGGTAAAAACATCAAAACATCATCTGGCCATCCCCTGGGCAGCGTCCTAGTAGATGGCCAATTCTTCCACACCAGAAGCAACTTGCAGTTTCTCAAGTCGCTCCTGTCATGGAAAAAAATCGTCAGAAAGGTTTCTGGATAGTAAATGGTGACAGGGAGGCACTATGAATTTTCCTTTTTCTGATATGTTACAGAATCATAAAATCCTAGAGCTGGAAGAGCTGTGGCACGACATTCTGTAATACTTGCTGAATTGAACACTATTTGTGTCTTAATATTTGCACTAAAATGTGCAATGCAAGGCCAGAAAGTTATTTTTGTTCTTTACAATATGTTCTGTCTATTTGATCTTTATGAAACAAATTGCATAAAGGACCATCCACTCCAACTCCATGGAATACAAAATTGAAAGACTCCTGACAGATGGTCCTCCAGCTTGTTTTAAAATCTCCAAAGAAGGGGACACCACCATGCTCCCAGACAGCATATTCTACTGCCAAACAGCTCTTACTGTCAAAAAGTTTTTCTTAATGCTTAGATGGAATCACCAGGACCTACCTGTGGTGTTGCCCCTTTCTTGTTGCCTTCTCCAAGGGCTCCTTGACTTTTGCATTTGCCCGTTTCCAGAATTCGAACAAGGATAGCACCCAATGCCATTTTCATTGTGCAAAAGAATGAACAATTAATTCTGCAAAAGTGTAATCCAGCCACGAATATGATGACATCAGTTTTCACTTTTCTACAATTAATTTGGATTTAAGTCAAATCCCTCAAATGCCACTTTTGGTTAAGTCCAGATTTTGTTGAACGCCAGATAAATATTAGATGTTTCAAGAAACACAGAAAACCTTTCCCTAAAACAAAATACTACCAAAACAGGGTATCTTTGTGAGAATACATGCAGTACATGATGTTAGCTGGATATGATTTTTCAATTAGCAGCCTAATATGGAAGGATAAACCAGATGCCCAGCTTAATTGCCTCAATTACAGCAGCTGTTACTGTCCACCAGAACCTGACTGTCTTATCCTTGCACATACAGCAATATTGAAATATTGAGCAGACTGTCATTAGTGACGAAATGTCTTGTTAGCCCACATAAGTCAATGCAGTATCCACATTTATTTTTTAAAAAACCAATAACCCAAAACCTTAGAATGAACCCAGTTGTATACTTTGTCACTGTAAAAAGTCTTGGTTAAATTGTGCAGCTTGCAGGTTGATATCATAATATGCTGCATTAACAAGAATATGATTACAATCTAAATATGTTTTTACACTTGTTACTCCTTTGTGTGAAAATGATTGGACGTTTTCACCAAATTTGGAGCATGAAATTTAGGCAGTTTGTTGTACATAAGACTGGGGGGGGGCATAGAGAGCTCTCCATTTTTTCATTTTTACATTAATTTCTACTTTTAAAACTGTTGTTAGGTGCCTTCAAATCAACTTCAGCTTATGGTGGTCCCATTGTCCTCAACAGCTTTCTTGGTTCTTGCATTCTCAGACCTGTGTCTTCCTCGATTGGGTCCTTCCATCAGAAATGGAGAATGTGTCCTTCTCTGGACATGTTCCAGCTTGCCAATCTCCTTGATTTGTGGAATACAGAACTGGACGGTATTATTTCAAGTGAGGACTGATCAATACGAATAGAGTGGGACTAAGACTTCCCTCAATTTGGACCATTGTACTCCTTGAGGTCTTTGGCATAAGCATGCATTTAAAAGAAGGATAGGAAAGTGTTTTCTTCCATTTTTTTCCCTTTTCCTTTGCGCTCTTGGGGAGTTTTCACCAACACAAATTATTGTTTAAAAACATTGTTGATATTTTAAAACTCAAAATGGTTTTGCCACCTGCTGACCCTTCCCCAACAGCTTTGGCTAAGGAGGGGCATTTGAAGCTAACAAGGCAGTAAACGGGATATGGAGTAATGTGTAGCATACTTAGGTTTTAACCCCCAAATTAAGAACTTTGACCTAAAAGCAAGGTGCTGGATGCTGAAGCTGATGAACAACTGCATTGTATCCTATCAGATCCCCAAAATATGCAGGAAAGCAAGAGCCATCACCATCTTGAAACCAGGCAAAGGCCGTAATGATCTAAAAATCTATAAACCAGTTTCCTTGTTGTGCCATCTCTACATAGTTCTGGAGTGATTTATTTTGCATAGAATTATGGGGGGCAAATAGACCCATGCATGATTCCACATCAAGCTGGCTTCAGGAAAGGCAGAAGCTACACATCACAAGTGTTGAACCTGACTCAGCACATAGAAGATGGTTTTGAAAAGCAGCAGATTACAGGAACTGTCTTCATAGACATATCAGCAGCTTATGACACTGTAAATCATTGCCTTCTCCTGAGAAAAACTTACAAATATCAAAAAGGACTACCAGCTTACCTGTTTTATAGGAAATCTGATACAAAACAGGAGCTTTTTGTTGAATTCCAGGGGCCAGAGAAGCAGATGGTGAACATGGAAAAATGACCTGCCTCAGGAGAGCGTGCTTGCTCCATCAATATTTAACATTTACACAAATGATCAGCCACTGCCAGAAGGGACAGAGAGTTTCATCTATGCTGATGATCATGCCATCACCGCCCAAGCAAGGAGCTTTGAAATGGTTGAATAGAAGCTCTCCAAAGCTTTAGGTGTTCTTACTGTCTATTACAGGGCAAAACAGCTGATTCCTAAGCCATCTAAAACACAAACGTGTGCTTTTCATCTTAAGAACAGACAAGCATCTTGATATCTGAGGATTACTCCCAGCCCAAGAAGTAATAGCTCTTTTTCTGATTTCAATCTATTTATTTCAGTGGTGTACAAAACTTGCCCCACAACCCGGTCTAACATAATTAAACACAAACCAGATGGAAAGCAATCACAAAAATATCTATCCCCTTGCATCAAAAAGAGGTGAGCCAGTAACACATTGATATTCTTTTTCTAAAATCTTCCATTCAGTCTGCTATAAAACTTTCAGCGAGATGCTGTGTATAGTGGTTTTACTGCAGACAAAATTATTCTGGCTTAAGCTTTTACAAATTAGGGATCATTACATCCGAAAACCAACATTTTTTAAGACTTTATGCTGCCAACAACCTCTTAAACTTGTCTCTATTGATAGTAAAAACACACCATCTGGTGGCCAGAAAGGAAACATAGTACTGAATATTTCATACTATGAGCAAGGAACATTCAGTAATATAGTTCTCTCTCTCCATTCTAAATAGCAATACTAGATATACATACAAAACATATTCATCTGTGCATTTTCATGTAGCATCTTTGAGAAAGAAGTTGCTTACATGTTTTTATAGATGAAAGCTTGTGCTGTCAGACATCTTTGAATTATGTATTGTCGAAGGCTTTCATGGCCGGAATCACTGGGTTGTTGTAGGTTTTTCGGGCTATATGGCCATGGTCGGCATTCTCTCCTGACGTTTCGCCTGCATCTATGGCAAGCATCCTCAGAAGTAGTGAGGTCTGTTGGAACTAGGAAAAAGGGTTTATATATCTGTGGAATGACCAGGGTGAGACAAAGGACTCTTGTCTGCTGGAGCTAGGTGTGACTGTTTCAACTGACCACCTTGATTAGCATATAATGGCCTAACAGTGCCTCGAGCAAACTTTTGTTGAGAGGTGATTAGATGTCCTTGTTTGTTTCCTCTCTGTTGTTGTGCTGTTGGACAATTTCAACAGAAAGGAGGAAACTATGAAAATGAACAATATCTGGCTACCAGTATTAAAAAAAACTCTAAAATTACAACAGCACAACAACAACAGAGAGGAAATAAACAAGGACATCTAATCACCTCTCAACAAAAGTTTGCTCGAGGCACTGTCAGGCCATTATATGCTAATCAAGGTGGTCAGTTGAAACATTCACACCTAGCTCCAGCAGACAAGAGTCCTTTGTCTCACCCTGGTCATTCCACAGATATATAAACCCTTTTTCCTAGTTCCAACAGACCTCACTACCTCTGAGGATGCTTGCCATAGATGCAGGCGAAACGTCAGGAGAGAATGTCTCTAGACCATGGCCATATAGCCCGAAAAACCTACAACAACCCATCTTTGAATTAGTCTCCAAGATTCTGTAAGCTCTCTTTCCTCACCTTGAGTGTTCCAATGAACCTGTGAGCGAAGCCATAGGAAGTCATGCACTCCCAGTAGGGTCTCCCATGGCGGCAAAGGTCACAAGGGAGGAAACAGAACAAGCACAGCCTGAAGACCTCAATGGCAGAACAGGCAAATGATAACATGGTACATGTTACAATGGCTCTGATGGCAGATGAAGGCTGCCACAGATAAGAGGCTACCGGTCGTAGTGTTAACCATGCCATTGGATCTAAACCTCTTTCTGCGAAGACTGTTAGTCACTGTGCACTGATCTCCACACATAAAACAAATTCAAACACAGATGTCTTCCAAGACAAAACAAAATCAGGAAAACTCCCATGGCGATCAGTAAATGGTGACAGGCAGGTCCATGAAATATGGAAGCCCCTAGCTATGGATGGACACATGGCCCATGGATATGGATTCAGCCATCCTAGTTCAAGATCTGAGGCGGTTGACTGTCCAGCAGCTCTATCCATGACTATCCCTATTTAGGATCTATTCTGCTCACCCCATACAGGGAGGCTAAAAAAGTTACCCTTAAACATAATCTGCTTATTTTGTCTATCTCTGACCATCATTCAGAGGGGTCACCACCTTACAGTCAAAACAGGACCATCTACAAACGTCACTCTTTACTTCTGAAACAATGTCATCCACATTGCCTCTGAAAAATCTTGCAAATCTCTTGGGAGGACAGGCGGAAAGATGTAGTGTTCTGAAAAAAGCAAAGACCACTAGCATTGCAAGTGAAGATCCTCTGTCATCAACTTCATTGGACTGGCCATGTTGTCCAAATGCCCAATCACCATCTCCCAAAGTAGTTTTCCTAGATTGATGGTTACCTTGTCATGGTGAGAGGCTTGCATGTTCCAACCTGTGGGCATAACAGTTGGAGTTATGTACTCCCAGGAGGGGTTGCAGGGGAGGTTCCAGACCAAGCACTATCTGAAGACCTCAACGGCAGATCAGGAAGAAGACAACATGGTACATTTTATAACAGCTGTGAAGGCAGATTAGAATTTACCATCATTATTTTAACCATGCCACTGGTTGGGACCCTCATTCTGTGATGACTGTGTTGACTGGCTGTGCACCAACCCCCACACATTAAAAAAAACTCGTGCACTTGGAAGGCCACCATACTTGGTATCACCTAAGTAAGTGCCAAAGTAGTTACTTTACTCTCAGCTCAAGAATGGAAAATGCAAGATTGGTGGACTGCAAGAGAATTAAAGTTGGGTTTAAAGCTAACCTTAAAAAATGTGGAAGCCCTGGCCCTTGAATGTTCTAATTGGAGTTCAGCTGTTCCAACAGTGCTGTGAATTTCGAAGAAGCACAAATAGCGGGAGAAATATGCTAAGAGGAAGGTGCACCAAGCAAACCCTTGCTGGAAATGCCTTCCATCAGGAAATCTATATCTTCTACATGATGAAAGACCATGTAGAATAAGTCTCTATAGTCACTTATAGACCCACCACCAAGACTCTACCCTTGGAAGACAATCATAGTTGGCCACGAGTGATTGCCTATGATAACTGATACTCCATTCTAACATAGCTATATTTTTATTAGCTTCAATCATATATTGTCCTTCTGAAAAACTGTGCATTGATGCATGTTTTATTATTTATCCCAGAAAATTCATTCAGTACAACATGCAGCAGCTAAACTGAATAGTTCATAAAACTGAGAGTATATATGATTAATTTTGTAAGAGAAAAAATAGAATTTTAATTACATTTTGAAAATGAGTAAATTATTAGTGTTGGTTTTGTCAACACTAGAAGTATAGGACACTTTGTTATAAATTAGGATTGTATAGCATACTAGCCACCCCCTTCCACGCATTGCCGTGGCCCAGTCTGGTGATCTGGGTTTCTAATATATGTAATTTCTTTATGCTTGTGGGTAAACAGTATTTCTTGCAGTTTCTTTGTCAGTGTTGATGTCAAGATTGTTTGGTTTGCCTACTCTGGAACATGCAACATACTGTATAATTGTCCAGGGGTCCAATCTAGGATACTACATCTTTGTGTGTGAATCATATATATCTGTCTATATCTATGGCTGGATGGCTCTTTGTCAGGAGGGCTTTGATGACATTTTCCTACCCTGGTGAAGGGAGTTGGACTGAGTGGTCTTAAGTGTTTTCTATTGGTCATGGGGGTTCTGTGTGGGAAGTTTGCCCCAATTCTGTCATTGGTGTGGTTCAGAATGCTCTTTTATTGTCGGTAACTACAACTCCCAAATGTCAAGGTCTATTTTCCCCCAAACTCCATCTGTGTTCATATTTGGGCATATGGAATATTTGTGCCAAGTTTGGTCCAGATCCATCATTGTTTGAGTCCACAGTGCTCTCTGGATGTAGGTGAACTACAACTCCCAAACTCAAGGCCAATGCCCATCAATGCCCATTTTGGTCATGGGAGTCCTGTGTGCCATGTTAGGTTCAATTCCATTGTTGATGGAGTTCAGAATGCTCTTTGATTGTAGATGAACTATAAATCCCAGCAACTCCAAGAAATAAAGCCCGGCTGCTCACTGGAGGGAAGGATACTAGAGACAAAGTTGAAGTACTTTGGCCACATCATGAGGAGACAGCAAAGCCTAGAGAAGACAATTATGCTGGGGAAAGTGGAAGGCAAAAGGAAGAGGGGCCAACCAAGGGCAAGATGGATGGATGGCATCCTTGAAGCGACTGGACTGACCTTGAAGGAGCTGGGGGTGGTGACGGCCGACAGGGAGCTCTGGCGTGGGCTGGTCCATGAGGTCACGAAGAGTCGGAGACGACTGAACGAATGAACAACAACACAACTCCCAAATGACAAAATCAATTTTTTTGAGTGATGGTCACTCCTTGGGTTAGTAGGTGTCTTGTGGCCAAAATTGGCGGCAATTCATCCAGTGATTTTTGAGTTATGTTAATCCCACAAATGAACATTACATTTTGATTTTTATAGATTTCCATCAGAAAGAAAGTTGGAAGTTAAATGTTTCACTTTTTCCATGACTTCCTGCATAAACCCCTTTTCAAGAATTCTATAATGCTATATTTTTGTGAATTTATCTTTTGTAATTCTATCTTTGTCGTTTTGGAAAATTCTTGCAATAAATAATACACTTTCTTCAGGTCTCACTTGGACCTCTGCATACACTCAAGTTGTAATAGTAATGTAGGAAACTGAGCACATTACTGTTCAATACAGAACATAAGATGGCAGAGACCAACAGTTCACATTCCTATCCAGATGTTCTTCTTTCACTCTATTTTTACTCTTCTAAAGCCCTCTAAAGTAAACGAAAGTAGTCCTCAAACACTTTGAATTGCTTTGTTCCATTTCTCTTGCTTTATTGTTTTGTTTTTAAGATGACACAGTAGGTTCGAATCCTGAACCACTTTTACAGAACAAGGAAGATTGCTCACTGCTCTTGTGAACATCACAAACATACAGAAGAAAAATTGAAATGTTACCATGTTTCAGAACCCCCTTCTCTCAAAGAAATAAAACAAAAAGAGTTCCAAGAACAATTACTTCAAGCTAAAAGAGGAAGGTTAAGAATCCAGTGAAGTCTCTTGAAGCCATCCTTAGTACTCATAGCTTTTGGCAAAGTCCTCCACTGGTACTGGCCTCTACTTCGGTCATTGTGAGGTCTTGGTACTGGGAGACTGCACCTCTAAACCTTGCAATCTGGATTAAATTAAGATGACTTTCACCCAACGGTTGAAAGTTATTGCACAAATTTACTACATCAATACATTAAAAAATCTACCCATGGAATGTTAGAATGGGATCTGTGTGTGTGTGCTGGATTGTTGTGGATTTAAACCGATCTTCCAGCAAGGCTGTACAGCAAAAGTTTTTAACTTATGAACCCTACCTTTTACACACAACTGTGTTCTTAGCAATGCTCAATGTTTACAACAATCCTGCAAGCATTGTTGATTTCGCTATAAGATTATAGTGTTTCAGATCTTGGAGGGAAGATATAATTTTATCTGGATCAAGTCAATTTATTTCTTCCATTTTACTAATTTCAATTAAGATTCCCTCCACCTACTGCTGTTTGTAGAAATCACATGGGAAATTAGACCACAATGGAATCCACTTGTTAGGTAGATTCTTGGAGCTTTATCAATCTACTATGGTAGTCATGTCCACAGATAAAGCAGCCCCCGGTGGCACAATACGTTAAACCGTTGTGCCAGCAGGACTGCTGACCGAAAGGTCAGTGGTTCGAAAGGTCAGCAGTTCGAATCCAGGGTGAGCTCCTGTCTGTCAGATCCAGCTTCTCATCCAGGGACATGAGAAAAGCCTCTCACAGGATGGTAAAATATCCAGGCATCCCCTGGGCAACATCCTTGTAGACAGCCAATTCTCTCACACCAGAAGCGACTTGCAGTTTCTCAAGTCACTCCTGACATGAAAAAAAAAATGTCCACAGCTGTTTGCTACAAATTCTAGGAGTATTATCCACTCCACATTCCATTTCACCCATGAGGAGGAAAAATACAACATCTGTACTAGCACTGAGAGAAGTAGAATAGTGGTAGCTAGATTTCAACTCAAGGAAATGGGAAGAATTCATATCATGAGGTCAAGACTACGTGGATGAAGGAAGACTAGGTTGCAGTTGTAGGATTTTGGGGCTGTTGGGTAGTTCAGAAATGTATGTCTTGTAATGCAACCACTTAATGCTACTGAGCTTTAATAAATACTGCATTGTAGGTTTATCTTAAATCTCGATGATAAAACTGACATTATTTCTAATGTTTCCAATTCCATATATTGAGAGCAACCCAAGACAGATGCGGAACTCCCAGGTATCCCCTAAAAGTACCTCTCTGCAAAATAAATAAATAAATTCGGAGAAGTAAACAACTGAGGTACCAATGTAGTCCAATACCTGGGAAAAATAAACAGATCTACAAAATAACATAAGCCTACTTGCAAAAACGGAGCCTAGCATTAAAGTAACTCTTGGCTTCCTGGTCTGCTTCATGTTTTTCAAAGAAAGCTGCCTTTTAAAAGAGGGAGTTCTTAACAAGCACAATAAACTTTTAAATATCAACTGATGCCTCTACTTTCTGTGCATTGTCTCCCCTAAAAGGTAATATGACGAAACTGATCAAAAGGCATACATCTGATGCCTCTTTGCCAGTTTGATATAACCTACAGACTTTTCTCATTATGATCCTTAGAACAGGAATTAAGTCCGAGCTTAAGTCCAAACACGAGTTCAAAAAATATTAGGCAACAATATCACGGATAATTGTTAGCAATTAAAAGCAATAAAAATATTTCAGACTTCAAATTTTTCTGCTGTGCTACAGGCAACCAGAAAAATAGCAGTTTTGTAAAAAACTGTCTGTTCAGGAGACATCTGTCCTCTTAATATAAGGCCAACAACGTAAAGCCAAGGCAATGTTCAGGCCTGGCTATAATTGTGACTAAAGATAAATCAGTTTTTTCAACAAGTATTTACTTTTTCTCACTCAGACCTTGATCACTATTTCATGATACAAGATATTTTAATCTTGCCATCCAATGTTTCCTGTGCATAATTTTACCAGGATGGCAGCTCTGTGATGCCATTTAAGAATCTGAACAGTGAAGGGGTGATTCAAAAGCATAGACAGTCTGAAATGACAAAAAATATTATATGACTAGGGAGAGGAAATGCAAAGCTCAGTTAGGCCACATCTATACTGTCATATAATGCAGTTTAACTGCATTGAACCGCATTATATTGTAGTGCAGACTTATATAATCTAGTTCAATGCAGCTAAACTGCATTCTGAAACTACATTATATGGCAGATGAGCCCTTAGAAAAACATAAGAAAATAGACGTTCTTTTACATATATCTTTTGTTCATGAGACTGTATGAATATTTCATAAAGTGACAGAAAGTAGAAGCATTCTCATAACTTGGGGACTTTTATAATAATTCATGTAGACAACATAAGTATAGCTACAGTCTTTGAAATGTTTACTGCCAAATCATGAGAGCAAGGATTTCACCCTCAAGTAGTACAGAAAACATGCATTGGTTTTCATGGCTGGAAATGTTTTAAGAGAACAGATTGAAAAATTAGGTATAAACTCCCATTATTCTCTAGATGTTGAACAATTCAACTAAGCTCCAATGTTATCAATACACAAAAAGAGTCACATGTTGGCAAGAATGGAAGCACCAACACTACGAATTTAACTCTCCTTGTGCTCAAATTTATTTATGCTTGTAAGGAGCAGCTGTACAAGGTCAGGCATTCTCAACACAAGACACAGGAGTCTGCCTGGCAGAAGGAAAGCACCTTTAAGGGTTTCTGAAGAAAAGGCAAGGACCATCTCACCACTGCTACCACCGGTTGACAGAAAGAGCACAATAAGATCAACCCTTCAGAAGAGAGAAGGGTGGAACAGAAACAACAGGAGAGAAGACCAGAAGATGATTTTAGTTGGCAGTTTTAAAGACTAGGAATTAAGTACAGCAGGACAAGCTGACACGATTGTATAACTTCACAAGATAGATATTGACATATTGAACAATACACAAGAACCCTAGTAAACTATTAATACTCAGTGGGTAATTCTGTGTGTAGACAATTATATACAGCAGATATCTCAAGCTGAATTCTGAGAAGTGGGAATTTAAGTCCATACCAAGGTCCATAAGAAGACCAGAGTTGTAGGCCCACACAGTTGACTTGACAATGTGGAGATCTTCTTGGGCAGAAATTCAAACATGTACAATGTAGGTCTGCAAACAAATGTCTATATCGATTTCTGAAAAGCCCAATGTGGCTTTCAGCCAACTACACCATGATTCAAAGTGTTCCAGCATGTTCCCATGTCTCAATAGCCATACTGTACTGTTGCCCTTTAAACTTACAGGGATGACAAGATATCTGTTGTCCGCAGGCACCAGGAACATACTTTACAGAGGACTTTGTAGGAAGAAATACCTGAATTCTTCTCAAATGGCTGCAAAACTGTCCAACATGATGAAAGTTGCAATCTGACCACTCTTGATTATCTTCCTTTTAGTTTTTCAGAGAAGGAAGGAGAAGGAAACCTACCACAAAGTCTTGTAAACTGATTTTATTCATGTGTCCAAAGTTCTATTCTTTGTTTAATTATTGTGTTTATGATTTAATTAATATTGTTTAATTAGAATGATGCAGCTTGAGAATTTTGCTTTTGTCAGCTGGAGATCCTGTTCTGCCACATCTTACATACGTTGGCTATTCAAATGCATTCTAGTATCTGGGCAATTCTGGTAAAAAAAATGAAAAACTTTGAAGGAAACAAAAGAAAATCTGTTCTTCGATTTTACAAAAAGGAGATGTGTTACACTGTTGAAAACCACCAAGCGCAGGAGTTGGAAATGCCTCATTCTTGATTCCACGTTTTAGAGAAGAAGCTTCAGTTGGTTCTTCTTTGTCAAAGAATTAAAACAAGTGATAATGTCTCTATCAAACCTTAATAAATCTAAGAACTGCTTCAACAATGTCTTAATTACCATTTTGGCTTGATCCAAAGCCATCCCAGCAGCATCAGTCAGTGTTCACTAACCAAACGAAGGCTGCCGAGGGCTTTACTTGAGGCTCCAAAGAGAAGCTGGGCAATCCCGCAAGACTAGACATGCAATGCTGTGCTATGAAAGTATGCTTGCATGGATTTGCTTCCTCCAAACTCTTGCTTTAAGGAAGTCCACATACAACAGCAGTACTAGTATACAAGGTCATTTCCATGGGAGAGATGTGTTCCCATATAGTACAAGAATCTGCAAATAAAAGTGTCTGATGTTGTAGTTGTAAACAGAGTGGAAAGAAAATGGAACTGTAAAGCATGAGGTTTGAACAGGCCCAAAATGACAAGGATATGAATCCAGTTACATGGTAAATATTTCCAGAAGTATGACTTTCCCATTGCCTATGCTGGACAAGGACAGATTTCTACCAGTTCTGGTTATCCCATCCTTCTTCAGCAGCTGATGGTGACTCTTTTGTTGTCTTCTTGGGAGCCTTTTTGGCTTTGCTCTCCCCTGCTGCATTCTCCCAGTTGGTCTCCCAGTTTTCCCAGCTGTCACTGTTACTGTTCTTGTTATTTGAGACTGTCCCTGAGCCCCAGACGTCCCAGCTATCCGAGCTCTTCTTCTCCATAGAATTGTCCACATAGGTCCAGCTATCACTGCTTGGGGACTTGTGAGGTTTGGGTGGATCCGAGTTGCCAAAGGTCTCCCAAAAACTGTGATCCACTGCATTGTTCTGGTAGCCTTCGCTGCTGTTCTGGTAGCTTTCTCCTTCAGGTGGCCTTTTGAGGAGGAAAATATAGCAAAACAAAAGCTAGTTTAGTTCACTGAAAACTGACAAAACATCCAGCTGCTATCAGATTTTTGTTGACGACTTTAAAAGAGGAGCACAGATATTCAAGGAGGACAGAGCTGCTAATATAATTCATAATGGCTCCATCCATAATGATGGGATGGGGCAGCAAATTCATAATAGATTATTGGTCCTCTATGTTTTACTGTGAGAACAAAGATCAATCTTGATGGAAAATTCTAAGCACATTTTCAAAATTGACAGAAATACTAGGTATATGTCCAATTAAAAGGCAGGATATAATTTTAAAAAACGAAGAATAATGGGTTATGGAAAAATGGGGTTGTCTGGGAAGACTGGAGTAAAACAATGAGAAAGTTATTGTCGAAGGCTTTAATGGCTGGAGTCACTGGGTTGTTGTAGGTTTTTTGGGCTATATGGCCATGTTGTAGAAGCATTTTCTCCTGACATTTCACCTGCATTTATGGCAAGCATCCTGAGGTTGTGCAACCTCACAACCTCTGAGGATGCTTGCCATAGATGCAGGCGAAACACCAGGAGAGAATGCTTCTACAATGTGGCCATATAGCCTGAAAAACCTACAACAACCCAATGAGCAAGTTATTTAGGTGGCAAGGGGAAGCTTGATGTATGGGATTAAACTCTGTACTTCTGAAGAATAGGGACACTATTTTCACATTCATCTGGCTGCATTTACACATACCACTAAAATAAATGAGAAGTTAATCAAGACTACTGTGTCACTCATTTCTACTTCTTGTATGACTTAATCTGGATGCAACCCACTGTTAGTTCTTTCACATTTCTACTTTACTTGGGTTTTCAAATGTCAATTTGGCTCCTGGGTGTTTGGAAGGGGTACTCAAGAACAATCTAAGGGATAATGCATTTCTTCTGGGGAAAAATGTAGCTGCTTTATTATTGGTATGAAAACTTAGAGCTTTGTCACAGGGTAATCTTAGGAAAGTTACATTCTATCAGCCTCAGAGGAAGACAAACACGAACTCTTTCTGAACAGATTTTGCCAACGCTTGCCTTAGGAACTCTATGAGTTGGAAACAACTTAAAGTTACACAACAATAAACCTCTACGAGAGTCTTTTCAAATGTTAAATAAAATATGAATGGATCTTACTTCCACTGAATTATAGCACAATCATCAATACAAAAATGGATTGGCTTTGTCTTTATATTCTCTATGAGAGAGAGGATATTAGGGTGTATTTATTATTTATTATCTTTATTTAATACAGGCACATCGGCAGGATACCTTTCAGAAGGCTCATCCGATTTCCCAGAAAAAAAAGTGGTAACATCTCGCCAGCCCTTACTACTTGCACCCTGGACCTGTGAAAAGCAACAAGGGGGAGGAAAAGCAAAGCCAAAGAAAGATTAGCAAAATCTATTTCATACAGTATGACAAAAGGCAAGCAGAAAACTATACACATGTGCACCTTCCTTATCTGCCTCTTTTTTGAGAACCCAACAATACTTAAAAAAGCAGCACTTCATGGTTAACGTTTTAATTATGTCTCAGAGTCTTTTTTCCTGTTGGATTTGATAACATTACTATTTCTGGTATCTACTAAATGGTGAAATGTTTTTAAAATGCAGCGATGAGCAAGGATTGTGTGTTGAATATATACAAATACTAAGTGCTCTGGAAAGGTTTTTAAAGGGCTCTGTGGCAAAGCAGGTTTTTTTCCAGCCTTCCCATCCAGGTCTTCCCTAGCTCCTGGCCCTCTTTTTTGAAGATCAAGACAATAAAGTTCCAATCTGCATAATAAGCCTTCAACTGCCAGTGGAAACACCTGACATCATATGAATGGAGCTCTCTGAGTCCTATCTTACCTGAAAAGGTACTAACAAAAGCAGAACTCTTGAAACCAGAAGAGACTCAGCTAGAAGTTGCTCAATGAACACTGCCAGATTCGAAGTAAAACCTCTGCTTCACTCAGCCTCCGTGCCATCGCAAGGATGGAAATGAAAAATTAAGGTGGCAGATGTTCTGAAAGAATGCAATGTGTTCCTAGGAACAAACTCTTCAAGCAATTACAAGAAATCTCCAAGAAACTTGAACAGTATTTTCTTAATTTTTCTAACAATGTCACACCACAGCAGTGTAAGAAGAGAAGCATTCACCACAAAAATGCTAAAGACCTAGGAGGCATTAGCACTTACCAGTTATATTAAGCAATGGCAGCAAGAATACAAGAAGAGGAAGAAGGCACATAGATTAGTAAGGTTTAGAAGTACTTCTGTTCAACTTAAGCTGTTTCCATATTCCTTGCAAGCTCAGAATCTGATAATGGATTCAATCAATTGCTATGTTTCATAATGCATCAATTCAGTCATTATTGAAACAATTTTATTCCACTGTTTTCAATACAGATCTTGATGGCACACATTTTACCGTGTTTGTCAAGTCACATGAACACAAGGGTCAAACAAAGTCTACTTCATACAATGCACACTTTCCCCAAATAGGCCATATTCAAATCTATTTGCTGCACAAAAGGAATGGATCAAATTACTGCACAATTATTTGATGTTAAAATTAATGCATGAATTAGGAAGATTTTTTTCTCTACCAGAGGAGAGCCATTTGTCAAGGTTGTGTGCTGCAAAAGTCATGAATGTTTGTGCTAGAGCTCATACCCTAAAGGAATATGGAGACTGGCTTAATACATGGCCTCCTAACTTTAGGCAGGCCACTTCGTACCTTCGAAGCCAACTGTGAGACCCCTTGGGAAACATCGTCCAAAATTTTTCCATCTTTCACCTATATGAATTAAGAGCTCCAGTTAGGTAAAGAACAGTTCCGCCTGTAAGAAAAGCTTGTTACCCAAAAAAATAAAGTAATTATTTTGTGTCACAAATAAAGTCAAGGGGGACAGAGTCCAGCATTTGTTAAGTGGATACTTTTTCCAACAAACCACTGAATTTTCCTAGGTATTTTCCTTTGGGCGAATGAAAAAAGTTGATCCCATGGATAGAGTGGTGAAAGGCAACAACTCAGCCATTTTCTTAGATAACATAAGAGAAGCACTGGCCCTTTCTATTTTCTCTGCCAAAACAGGTAAACACCAGAGAACCGGTACTGCCATTTTCCCACCCAGGTTCATATTGCACCATAAACTGACCCATGGGTAGGTCAACCCAGGTTTTTGGGAATGATTTTTGTTTACATTTATCAATTTATAAATGAGTACATGAAACCAGTGGGAAAGGGCATCCAGAATTTTGGGGTGAAGTGACATCAATGTGTAGATAAAATCCACAAACTGATGTGGTGGTTCTGAACCAGTGTCCGTAATCAGTAACTGATTGGAAGAGGGCAAACAAATTGGAACAGAGGTATTCACAATCAACTGAAAGGCAGGGAATAGAGGTTCAGTCTATATTAGAGTGACACTGAGGTTTGTAGTTTGGATGAACCCCCAGACTCAAGAAATCTGAGGCCCAGATTTCTGCAGTGGCCAGTGTCCTTTTGCACATTTAGAGGTCATGCGACAACAGTTCTCATTTCTTGAACCACTGGATCTGGTCACAATGGTACATGAGACCTGTTAGATTATGTCTCGACTATGGCTACATGTTCCATATAGGGCTGCCTTTGAAGAGTGTTAGGAAACTTTATCTAGTACAAAGAGTTTTAGCCAGAACAGGTGTAGTTTACAGGGACCATGCAAGTAGTATGGTCCCCGTAAACTAACCATGTTCTGGCTGAAACTCTTTGTACTAGATAAAGTTTCCTAACACACTCTTCAAAGGCAGCCCTATATTACAAGAACCCCACTGGCTGCCAATTTGTTTCCAGATACAATTCAACGGTCGGTTATGACCTATTGCTCAGGTCCAGCCTATCTGATAAACTGTATCTCTCCATATCCTGCCTGGGCCCAGAACTTTGCTCAATCTCATCACAAACATGAATGGAACAACTGTGAGAGAAGATTGTCTCAATGATCACCCCTAGAGTCTGGAATTCCTTTCTAAGGAATACAAAAAACTTTTAAAGACTGAGTTAAGTGTGCTGTATTGTTTTAAATTTAGTGGTTTTCAATTTTGTAAACTCTATTTTATTGGTTTTTATTTGATGTGAACTGTTTAAATGCTGTGATCAGTTTAAGTAAATTTGAAATTCCATTTTGTATGTTTTAGTTGCTGTTTTTTTTTTTAAAAAAGTGTGTGTCACTTTGAATCCCAGCTTTTTGGAGAAAGCTAAGATATAAATTAATATAATAATAGTAACAATAATAGCAATAGTAATAATGATAGCAGTTACGACTATTATGCTACAATTAGGAAGATCCAGATTCAAATTCCAAAATAGTCACTATCTTTCATTCTAACCTACTTCATTGGTTGCTGAAACAAAAAGGGAAGAGTACAAGATATGCTACTTTGAGGAATGGCAAGTGACATCAATGTAATTGAAAATTTAGAGTTTGAACGAAATGAACTATGTACAACACAAAATGGAAATTTGGGAGGTGAGGGGCTTCATGATGGATTTAATCAGCCAGTCAGATCTTTGGTTACAGATACTTTGGTTACCCCAAGTAAAGCAACACAACATGGCTTTAAAAAAACTGATAAAGAAATTTAAGATTGTACTTAGGAGCAACTGTGCATTCATATTAGACAAAATATAGCCCTGTTAGTCTTTTTCAGTATCAAAATAAGGAGATGTTCATATGGTTAAGAAGGATAACACATTCAAAACCCATCAGTCATGTATTCATTTTCCAAAGTTACCTTTTCCTGTGCAGGTTTGAGAACATTTTCATTTAAAGTTTGACCTAACTCTGATGCCTAATTAAAAGCAAAATGAAAAAGTCAGTTACACTTTTTGTCTTCATAGGACACATCTAACATGTATTGCCACAGAAAGTAGCCAATAGACTTCCAAAGAAAAAGTAGAACAGAAGAGCCCTATGCTTTGCTGGTACAAGCGACAGAGTGAGCTGAAAGCGCGCAAGATGCACAGTCACAAATAAAAGAAAAAGTACACCGAGATAAACATGACAACAGGGCTGTTCAGCATCCTAGTTCTTACACCAAGCCCTGGCAATGAGCAACAGGTCTGAAGAAAAAGACACTTGCTATAAACCACAAGGCTACCTTAGTGGCACAGTTGCTGACAATCCATAGCAATTGGCTCCCAGGCCGCTTTAGAAATATATACAAATATTTCACTCAAGTGATTGAGCTATACTGTGAGACTTCTCCAAGAAAACCACACAATCTAGTTCAAATCATGTGCAAATATAAGCTTACATTATTGGAAGCTATGGGATAAAGGCTACAAGTAGCATGCAGCCAAGAAATTCTTTTGTAAGGATAGTCACTATTTTCATTTTAGTTTGTAATGTGATCTCTGTTTGACTAAATAAACTTATGCCTAGGAAACACAGCTGAGTTGCTTAAGTATAAAAAAGATAGTAATTCCACAACGTAGGTTCATGCTCTGCTGAGACTCACAAACACGCTCGAAGAGCAATGGAGTTCCTATTATGGAAGAAAAAGCTTCCATTTTAAGCCAAGGTTTGCCTCATCACAGTAATGGAAGGGTTACACAATGTTTTGGGGAGATGAGAATCAACAATTGGAAACCTGCTTGTGATTTTTTTTTATTCCAGTATCTGCTCTGTCCATTAGTTTGAATGTCATGTTTCCTCTGCCTTTTCTGCTTCTCTAGAACAGAAGGACTGGCTTCAATTAGAAAGAAGATACTGGGTGGAATACATTTATCCCAGTATACTGCTTGGGGAGGGAGGAGAGAAAGAGAATGGCATTATTGGCCAGAGATGGAAAGAGAAAAACAAAGTGTCTGGTTTGCTTGCTGTGTGGAGCATTTCCTTTTTTGAAATTTAGATTTCCCTGATCAAGGTGTAGGTTTATTTTCCCTGGTTGATGACAGTTGCCTTTGTGGATGGAGACTGGATTAGATGTGGTCCTTTCAACCAAAGCTATAAAAAACTAATAAGAAATATTTTGAACATTCCTTCTCACTTTTCTTTTTTTGGCAGACTACAATCCATTTTTGCTATGATTTCATAATGAACATTACTTAATGGGAATAGGGTTTTTCTTTTTTACTCTTCCTCATTCTAAATGTGAGAATCCACATAATCACATGTATAATGAGTGGCCACAATCTTGGAGGGAAGTTTCTTTCTATTTATAGTATGAAGAGTTACAAGAGAATGAAAAAACAAGTGGAAGAAAATTATGGTGGGAGCTAAACTTAAAGAGGCAAACTTGGAAGAGTTCCAAAACAGAAAAGGTGTTTCCCTCTCTTCACAGCTTCTGTATGTTATTTAATATCTCACTGATTCAAACACTAAAGTATTTTGCAGGTAAGGGTACCAGACTAGCATGGCTGGCATCTCTCTTAACCATACACATTGCTGATACCAGGAACCACAGTGGGACACTGTACTCAATCTATACTTAATGTTCACCCATCTAGTGAACATTGGGCATCTCTCATACATTGTGCAGATATTTTTCTTCTGATGCTAATCCTCTCAATTTGTCGGACATGGTCTTTTTCATTCAGGTCAACAGTGATCACTGTGTAAGAAACACAGTGTTGAGATTTGGGTGCTTTATGGCTGAATATTGCAAACCCTTTCTCCCATTAATGAAAACTTTTGTGAAACAATCCCAATTCCAAATGCTTTCCAAATGCAGAAACAGTTCTGGGCATTTCTCATTCCTGAGTGCTGCCCCCAAACACATACACAATCTCTTTGCAAATGAGCCCCAACACAGATAACACAACATGAATCAGAAAACACATTTTGGACTCTTGCTTGATGCACCCTATTTTAAAGAAGCCGAAGGAGACATTACAAAAAGATGCAGACAACACTGCAATGCAAAGGTGACTTGATTTCAAGGGGGCAGAATAAGTGAAAGAAAAACGACAGCTTGCAACAAAATGTACAAATTCAGCACAGTGAAGGAAAGCGCCCATGCATAAGAACGGAGGGCTTTACCGGCTCTGCCTGTTGTTTGTGGCCCCAAAACTTTACACCCAGGCAGCACAAGAGAAAAGAGCAAGGAGGGTAGAAGAAGCAGCTTTTAGCAAAAGATCTAGAGCACTCTTTTTTCCAGGCAAAAAAGCATTTTTATTAATATACAAGAGCCCTACTGACAAGCAAAATGCAGAGTCTATTGTTCAAAATGCCAAGCTACATTGCCAGATTATCTATAAATATATGTAGAGTCACAGCTGAGAGGTACGCCAGACTAAGCCCGACCTGGGAAGCAACAGCTCCAGTTGCTAACAAGGGAAACTTGCTGTCATGTATGATGACCAATAATGAGAACAAGGGAGCAAGGCTGCTGACGTGGCTTGTCAGTAGAGATAATCAATTAACTCCGGTGCAATGTCAAATAGCTGTGCATGTTGATACTATTATGGAACTCAACAAGGTCTGAAGAAATTAGGTACATCGTATGAGAAGGCAGCAAAGGAAAATCAAGGTGATATCAAAGTTTCCCTCTTCCACCTAAGGGGTAAATATCTGCAGCTTTTATATTCAGATGAATATGAAGATCTGCCATGGAATATTTACAGCATTTTTCCTTTGAACATCCACACACAAACAATTTTAGCCTGGAACATGATTAGAATGAATCATGAATTATTCCCACTGAATAGCTACATACGTAGGCCTCAAAGAATCCCAAAGTCCTAAAAGAGCCTTGGTTTTTCCTTTCCTAAAACTTGATATCCATGCAGCCAGTCCTTCCAATTTTCAAAACTCAATTCTAGCACAAGGCTAACAAGGTATTTGGATACAAATGGGGTTTTCATAAGGGCTGGTCTGCACCATGTGTGCATACCAAACCTACAATGCAAAGACCTCATAAATATATAGGAACATGTGCGGCTCTGTATCAAAGTGGTATTCTAATATGATGCCATTGTATGAGCCTTTTTCTATTCATGGGTGTCACATTAGCGCGCACGCACACACACGGTAGTTGTAATGACCTGGGACAAAACACCCACCATAATGAGAACTGTATTAGCATATTGTATTGACAAGTCACTTTCTACAAGTGTCTCTAGTATAGGATCTACAATTTAAGAAAAATGCAGTCCAAGAAGCAATTCAGTTTCAGAAGCTGGACAATATGGAGAAGGAATGTTGTCATTTCTTTTATATATGGCTTATCTGTAACAATAACTGCTTGGTACACAGGAACCTAGCCTAAATACCCTAAAGGTATCAGATCCCATCTGATCCTGAAAGCAACATCAGCTTTGCTTCGCACTTGGCTGGAAGACCATCAATGAATATCAGTTGCTATTCGCTTTATTTCAATGGAATAAAGGAGCAAAACATGTCGAGTATTCCTTGCCTAAGAAAACCCTATGGAATACATAAGATCATCATAGGTCAGCAGGCAACACACATACATTTTTACCTGGAGCAGTTGCTATTTGTCTCTGAACTATACTAGATAATCCCCTCCCACTAGATTTCTTTACCTCTTATGTACTAGTTTGAGCTACTATGCAATAAATCAGCCTTAATAGGGTTGACTATAAAATATTTCCAAACCATTTGGCACGGAATAGAAAAACAATCGTAACTAAGTGGTATTAACTTTCCAGTTAGTTGTTAAATTCCATGCTCTCCATCAAAGGCCTCAAAAAAATGAGACCTCATATACATTTTTTCAACGAAGATGCAGGAGATAGCAAGTACTCCAAGAATATTCAAACTGCTGAGAAAAGAAGACAGTCATGACTTTAGTGCCAGCTTAGCCATTGAAGAGAATGGTTTTTCATGATTACCTTTTGAGTAGCCTGAGATCCAAATTTGGTAGCCTGCAGAGAAAACAAAAATGATTTGCTTCAAATGTTTCAGTAAAACAAAAAACTAGACAGACCCAGCAACATTTAACATTCTCGTGTTTCTCAGAATTGTAGGTAACTCTTCCTATTAAACATGCCAGTGTCCAGGACTTGCACAGGAACCAAACAAAGACTTGCACAGGAACCAAGAGGCAATATAAAAGCTCCCCACAACTGGTGGCCAGGGTGGAAGCACAGGAAGGCATCCACACATTAATGGTAGGGGTTCCAACCCTCTGAAATACTTATGCAAACAACAAGTTCTTTTACTTAACTTTGTTGCCACTGTGAACATACCTTGTACCTTCACATTAGTAACAATCTTGTGTTCGTCACATGGCAACAATGACAATTACATTCATTTCAACTCCAACTTGCAACATAACAGAATATGGTAATGCCAAAGGGAGGTGAAAAGTTTTGAAAAGCATTATGTTTGAAATTCAGACAAAAGGATTCACAGCACGCAAGTTGATAATTCAACTACTGCAATTACAAGTCTTCCATGACACAATCATATGAAGGCCTCCATCCAAGGGCATTTACTCTTACCTGAAACAATTCAGATGGAAGAAAAGCCAACTAACTCTAAAGATATTGTGGCTGCCAAAACTACTGCCTGAAAAAATGGGTCTTCTACCAGCAGCAAGCCAACCTTAAAAACTCTGGCATAGACACTGAGAACTGGGAAGCCCTGGCCCTTGAGCGCTCCAGCTGGAGGACAGCTGTGACCAGCAGTGCTACAGAATTTGAAGAGGCACAAATGGAGGGTGAAAGAGAGAAACATGCCAAGAGGAAGGCGCGTCAAGCCAACCCCGACCGAGACCGCCTCCCACCTGGAAACCAATGCCCTCACTATGGGAGAAGATACAGGTCAAGAATAGGGCTCCACAGCCACCTACGAACCCACCCCAGGACACCAAACTTGCAGGACCATCATCCTCAGATTACGAGGAATCGTCTAAGTAAGTAAGGTAAGTAAGTATATGGAAGATGGAATAAAATCATTTTCTGGCTTATATTGTTTACTTACACCCTCTTTAGCTGCAGAAGCAAACTTGCTTGCTCCAGTTGTAAAACTGCTCCAACCCTGGAAGAAAAAAAGGGTGTGTGTGTGAAAAACTCGGCTTATGTTTGAGTATATACAGTAATCCAATGACCTACTGTCAGCTCTCTCTTTTTCTCAGTCTTTCTTTTATTAACAAGTGGATCACTGATATTTTTACTGATTTAAAAATATTTTACTAGCCACAGAAGAGAAAGATTTAAGTCTGGAAACAATCTACTTACTGAATATAGAGAGGACATAGCATTGTTGAGGAAGTCATCTTCTTTTTTCGGAGGAGTAACTGTATTCCCAAACCCCACGTAGCGATTCTCTTGACCACTGAATCAAAACACACAAGAAACTAAAGAAACACATTTTATAATCAAACACATTTCTATAAAATACATAAATGCACACATAAATTCAATATATATTACATTTCAGAATCATTGCCTTGAATACAAATGTGCATTAAATCACGACAAATTGTTTGTTCCCAGTTGGCTTGGCAAACTATTCCATTTCAGCACAGTTTATGGTTTAAAATATTTCCAATGATCTTCAGCATAGACTGCACGTGTGAGTAGCATTTTAAAACCCATCTCTGATTTTACAACCATCTTTGACTTTAACATGAGTTATAGAACCCAATATTTTCTTCATCAGAGTTAATCAAGTTCCTTTTTGAAAATATTTTGTTCCTGTCATTTGTTACAGTATTTGAGGGAAGGAGGAGCCCTGCCTTCATGTTTTGAAAGGCTGAAAGGTTCAATTCACTGCATTACCTGCTGCGGTGCTTGCTGCTTTTCTATTATTTCCCATTGCTTCTTTGAAAAAAAACTACCTTTATTCATTAAAAATGCTGTAGAAATCCATTAAGGATCACCTAAAAATGACCATTAAAATTAAATTGAAAACAATTGGATACTTGTATTGTCGAAGGCTTTCATGGCTGGCATCACTGGGTTGTTGTAGGTTTTTTCGGGCTATATGGCCATGTTCTAGAGGCATTCTCTCCCGACATTTTGCCTGCATCTATGGCAAGCATCCTCAGAGGTAGTGACTTCACTACCTCTAAGGATGCTTGCCATAGATGCAGGCAAAACGTCAGGAGAGAATGCCTCTAGAACATGGCCATATAGCCCGAAAAAACCTACAACAACCCAATTGGATACTTGTTATACTACTTCAGTAACTTCATTCTTACTTGCTGATACTTCGAAATTTAACTTTTTTGCATCTTTATTATACAAAAAGTGGCTAACAGCAGGTAAGTGACTTAGGAGTAATGCATAACTTTCACATTATGCTCTATGACTGGTTTGATAAATGCTGGTTTGTAACAAAAGAATGCACTGCTCACATGTATTTATAGAGAATTTTCTGAGAGGAGGTTCACAAATTTTGGATTGACTTAGTAGCCAGCTGTTGTTTCTCCTTTGGGAGAAACAACAACAACAACAACCAACACCCTTTCAAATGTCTTTCACTTTGCATGAAGCCTCAAAGACAATAATTCTTAATTTTTTGTAGCTATTTAAAGACAATAATATCTGACACCCTGTGAGCAGGAAATAAATATTGTAGTAAAATAAATAAAGTAATCTCAGTACAATGGCCTCTTGCTATCTGCTCTGTTTGGTTCCAAGGCCCACCATGTTTTACTGATGGAATAAATATTATTGTTGTTTGCTCCAAGGTCCACCATGTATTCATGGATATTCAAGTCCCATTATATATGACGGTATAGTAAAATGGTGTGTCTTGTATATAATAGCAAAATAAAGGTTTGCTTTTGGGATTATTTTTTAAATCAAGACATGAATGGATGAATATATGGACGCAGGGGGTCAATTGTGTAGGAAGTAAGAGGTTTATACCTCTATAAAATTCAAACAGCAAAATAAAGTCTTCCACATTTGACTATAGGTGGAAAGGATTTATCTGAAGGCCATCCAAAGTAAATTTAATCAACACAGGGCTATGTCAAAGAAATGACTGTTGGTAGTTATCTTCATGGACTCATATTTAATTGAGATGTGATTTTTACCTTTGATAAGAGCCAACATCATCATTTAACCAATCTTCAAAGGCTTTGTCAGAAGTTCCACCTGCAGTCTGCTGTTGCCCAGCAGAGCTGCTGCAAAGAATAAAGTGTAAAAGTAAACTGTATGAAAACCAAATGATAAAACAAACAAGAATGTACTTCTATGAAAATAGGGTGTTTGCATACAGGGGGCAGATAAGTTATGCATAGGAGATCACTCCATCAAGATTTGCTGCTTGATACATCTATTTTCAGTTGTGACAAAACCAGCTTAGGCTACCCGAAGCTTTTCAATTAATGGTTACTGAACGTTTATGAATATCTAATTCTTTAACATATACAGAATATCAAACTAAAGTTAAGTATCAGAAAGCTCCAACATGGTAACTAAACCACTTGCAATAGCATTATATTATGTTAGAGAGTTATGTAAAATATCACTACATGTTAACAGTGCTGTACAGAATAGTTCTGTAACAGATGATCACTGAGAGGACAAAAAAGAATCAATATGAAAAAAGTCAACAGGTTTTAACTTGTTAAAATATTTTTTAGTCTATTAAATAATTTTTGTTGTAGTAATCGTATGCCACCCGGAGATCTGGTGACACAGGGCAAAATATGGCCCTCCTGCCGGTTTTTATATTGTTTTGTTTTGAAGAAAGCTCTTTGCACACCGTTCCAGTCACTTCTGATATTGAAAACGGCCCAATGAGGGAGTGAGCATGAAATTAAAATTGTTCCAATAGACTCTAAAGAGCTCAAGGGGTTTTTTTTTCAATAAAACCAAGAGTAGCAAAATGCAGATGATGTGCTATATGTGGCCCTCCAGAGCTATTTTTGCAGTCTACAGGGCCCTTTCCTGAGGTCATTATTTTGCCTTCTTCTGCAAGAGTAAAAAAAAGAGAGAGAGAAGAGGAGTTACACCCGACTGTTAAAGAGATTTCTAATTGGTTTAAATTGTTACACTAAAATATAATGAAAATGGTCTCTATAAATCGAGTGTGTGTATGTGGTGAAGGGGGGGGGGGGCTAATGCAGCCCTTGAGCCTTCCACAGCTGCCAACCCCTGTAGAAAAATACATAAAGAAATCAGGGATATTAAGCAACCTTTCCATATCCAGTAGGAAGCAAATGCCCATCGCTACCCAACCTCAGGAAGTTGGGCAGCCCCCTACCTTAGAATAATCACACTGTACAAGACAAAGGGAGGCCTACCGATGAGTTGCGGAAAGAGCAACTTTGGGCTGAGGAGGTGTCCAGTTTCTAGCAGATGATGTTTCAATTGACCATTCTTTACCTTCGGCCAGTGCTGCCACCTAAAGTAAGACATATTTTAAAGGTCTAAACATATATCCTTCCACAAAGCTGTTTTTAGTGAATTTCTTAAAGAATGGGGAAGCAGCCATAGATTTACAAAGCATACATAACTTCAAGAGAAAGCCATTAAAATAAGATGTGAAAGCTCATGGAAGAGGTGGAAATTAAATGAAGCCTTCACATTCAGAGTTCATGCAACTAGATAACAACATAAGCCCATAAGGAAAAACTACTGCCTCTAAACACGGTTTATAAACTTTTCAGAAGCATCTGGGTTGGCATAGACTAGCGTTTCTCAACCTGGGGGTCGGGACCCCTGAGGGGGTCGTGAGGGGATGTCAGAGGGGGTCATAAAGACCATCATAAAACAAAGTATTATCTGTTGGTCATGGGGGTTCTGTGTGCGAAGTTTGGCCCAATTCTATCGTTGGTGGGGTTCGGAATGCTCTTTGATTGTAGGTGAACTATAAATCCCAGAAACCACAACTCTTAAATGTCAAGTTCTATTTTCCCTAAACTACACCAGTGTTCACATTTGGGCATACTGAGGATTCGTGCCAAGTTTGATCCAGATCTCCATCACTGTTTGAGTCCTCAGTGCTCTCTGGATGTAGGTGAACTACAGCTCCAAAATTCAAGATTAATGCCCACCAAGCCCTTCCAGTATTTTCTGTTGGTCATGGGAGTTCTGTGTGCCAAGTATGGTTCAATTCCATCATTGGTGGTGTTCAGAATGCTCTTTGATTGTATATTAACTATAAATCCCAACAACTACAACTCCCAAAAGACAAAATCAATCCTCCCACCTCAACCCCACCAGTCTTCAAATTAGTGCATATTGGGTATTTGTGCCAAATTTGGTCCAGTGAATGAAAATACATCCTGCATATCAGATATTTACAGTACGATTCATAATAGTAGCAAAATTACAGTAGCAACGAAAATAATTTTATGGTTGGGGGTCACCACAACATGAGGAACTGTATTAAGGGGTCGCAGCATTAGGAAGGTTGAGAACTACTGGAATAGACACTATTTGAGCTTTGCTTAATCTACCAAGGCCCATACTTTTCTCTTTTAGCTTGTCCTGGGCTACAAAAAGATAGTTACTACAGGAGTGCCATAACAGTATTGCTAGAATAAGTCAAGACCAGGCATGGGCTAACTTTGGCCCTGCAGGTGCTTTGGACTTCAACTCAACTCCCACAATTCTGAACAGCCTGAGGCCCTTTCCTTTTTCCCCCTCAGCTGTTCGGAATTGTGGAATTTGAAGTCCAAAACACCTGGAGGGCCAAAGTTTGCCCATGCCTGGTCTAGACTGACTATATTTGAAAGAAAGGTAAATCGAAGATCAATAAAAATGCTTAGCTTCTGCTTACTACATAAACCTGGAATACACAAAACTGTGTTTAAGATACAGTCAGGGCAAGCAATTATTGGAAAGACAACAAAATTTGATATTGCAAGTAAATATGAAACAATTTTAGACAAAGCATAACTACCTTCTCTATTATACTACCATAAAAAAATACAAAAGCAACTAGAGAGTTAAGCATTAGGTAATTCTCTAAACTTAAAGCCACATATGTTTTGGAAGCCATACATTCCCAGGTATATATAGTTAAGATTTTTTTTATTCTTATTTCAAGAACTTCAAATATGTCAGAATAAGCAGGTTAAAAATTACAGAAATTCCACAAGAATCCATGTCTCTAAGCTTTTTTAAGGTCTTCAAATGTTCAGGTTCCAAAGACGCTGAAGTTATTGTTTCATTAACAATACCTTATCTCTGAAGAGTGCTGCAGCTTTGCTGTTGTATTTCTCTTGCAGTGACCAACAAGGGTCATAGTCTTCTTGAGACTCTAAAAATTCCCGAAACTTGTGATTACCACCTGCTTTCATTTTCTCCAATTCAATATCTTTCCATTTGTCCATAGTGACAGACCGCACGAAACTGAAAACCAAAGTTTTAAAAAGGCAGTTCTTATTATATCAATACCAATGTAATTAAGCAGCAGCATGAAAAACATCTCCAATAAGGGGTACTATCACAATCCACTATCACAATAAAGATGTCTAGAGTCAATCGTACAGGAAGGTCCTCAATAGTCTAGAATTCTGGGATAACATCTCAGAAGCCAGAAGAATTGTAGTTAGTCTATTTTAAGCATATAATGAATTATATTATAAGCATATCATGAATCTATTACTTTACCTAAATGTTTACGTTTCGAGAATAAACTGGATTTTTAAAAAGAAAATTCTGAATATATTTCAATTTAAAAGTAGTCATTTTCTTCCTTGGATGCCTAATACCAGAAACCTTTATTAACTTAGTCTTAGCATAATAAACATGATTTATCAGCATCAAACTGTGTTCCAGTAAGAATAATAAAAGTCATTCTATTTTGTCTATTATTATTATTATTATTATTTATAACTAATATTTTTATACTACTGTGTGTCAAATGCGACCAAGGCAGTGTGCATTCCTTCTATAATAAACAGTAAACAGTAACACTATTTAAAATCATTAACTAAATCATCAAATATATTTTAAAATGATACAAATAACAGAAAGGGCTACAGTGGAGAGAGGTTCTTATGAGAAACTAACCTGAGATGAACACCCAAGCCTCGATGTTTTCCTGAGCATTCGAGACAGATCCATATTCCATAGGTCACACTCACCCATTGGGGGTTAAATGCACCACACTCAAAACAAACCTGCATTAGAAAATAGAATGGGCAATGGAGGAAACAATAATGTTTAAAAACAATTTAAAACATACAAATTGAAATTATTAAAAGCAGTTTAAAAACCATTCAGGAAAAACAATACCATTCCCTCATATAAAGTACTTTCTTTGAAACCTCCCATTCTCAATTAAACAATATCAGGAAAAAATTAAGTGTCTGCCTGTCAACAGAACCCAAGACACATACTCTGAAAATGTGTATAAAATATATTTAAAATATTAATTCTCAACCCTAACCTCGAAACAGCAAGTCCGCGGAAAGCGAACCGCGAAACAGCGAGGGAACACTGTATTCCATTTTGCTTATATACCACTTTTCTCCCATCATGTGACCCCAAGCAATTTGCAATTATTCAAAACAAAACACAATGAAAATGCCATTTTACAATAGTTTTTTTAAAAAACTCTTATTCAATTCTACTTCAAAAACACATTAATAACATAATTGGAAAGACAAAAGCAGAGCATACCACTTTCAAATCCCTTTTTGCAGCATGATATAAGAATCAATGCCCTGCCTATATAAATAAAAAAGCATTTATCTCCAGGCAGAAAGAGAACCAAGTGGAAACTATGTGCAGGGAAATTCCTTCCACCCTCCCAAGGGATTAGTGAGCTTGTGGGAAGGACTTAGCTGGAACTTTCTATGTGATAAACTCATATAGGTTGGAGATTGTCTATCATAGTTAATTGTGGAATCATTTAAATGGAATCCTCTAATGTGAGCATAAGGTGACTCCTTGCCACTTAACCATATGCTGCTAAGAGGATACACTGAACTACTTACATTATTCTCATCTTGCACTCTCACTTCTTTAAGGACTTTTCTTGTTCTTGGACTTGCCATGGTCCTGCAAAAAACAAATGAAGGCAATTATTATCAAGTTATATTGTGGTCCAAAAGTAATATTACAATCATTTTCTCCATAATGTTTGGTTTGTGAATCAGGAGGAAGGCTTCTTTCCTCTCTCACAGCATTGCTATGGGTTGCATATAAAGCAAGGCTTGTATTATTCAGGTACTCCCCAAGCTGCACTTAGAAACAGGATAGACAAAAAGTGTTTTGACAAAATCACTGCAAATATACCTTAGTGCTTATAGAATGTGAAATAAGAACCTGGAAGTAATGTCGTTATTTTGTAAAGATGTTAACATTAGCACTCATTGTTTCACAAATGTTGTTTTTGAAAAGTAACTAGTGTTATTATTTTTGTGATTTTAGGAAGTTTTTTTTAGTCTAAGGTAGTGAATGTATTTAAAACTTGTAACTTTTATGGAGGTACATTTTAGTGTGTGTATTTGTAGTGTTTTTGCTCTGCTTATGTATTTTAATTGTTTTGTAACCCCCCCCCCCCCTTAAGCCAAGAGGAGAGGTGGGTAAGAAATAAAAGTATTATTATTATTATTATTATTATTATTATTATTATTTGAAACACAACAAGATTAGTACACAGCAAACAAGATCACTATGCTGGCTGTTGTATTGAATCACATGTCGGACACTTCCCAAGTGTCTAGGACTGTGTGATGTATTGGTGAATAATGTGTGCAGATCCGAGCAGGGATGTGCTTTTGCAGTTGACAGTTGGTAATTTTGTCAGTGCTGATTGTGTTAAGTGCAGGCCAAGGTCTTTAGGTACGGCACCCAGTGTGCCGATCACCACTGGGACCACCTTTACTGGCTTGTGCCAGAGTCTCTGCAGCTCGATCTTTAAATCCTCATATCATGTCAGCTTTTCCAGTTGTTTCTCTTCAATCCTGCTGTCACCTGGGATTGCAATACTGATCCATACTTGCTTTTTTAAGATGATCATGAGGTCAGGAGTATTGTGCTCCAAAACTCTGTCAGTCTGAATTCAGAAGTCCCAGAGTAATTTGATGTGCTCATTTTCTGTAACTTTTTCAGGATTGTGATCCTACCAGTTTTTGTCACAGGAATATGGCATTTGTGGCACAACTTCCAATGGATCATCTGAGAACCGGTATAACGCCTCTGCTTGTAATCTGTCTGTGCGATCTTCTTGCAGCAGCTGAGGGTATGATCTATTGTTTCATCCTCTTCCTTGCAGAGTCTGTCGTTGATTTTTCAGTTCTGGCTTTGATGGCATTTTTTTCTAATTGTCTGTTCTTGGGCTGCAAGAATCTGGGCCTCAGTCTACTTTTTCAAAGTACCATTTGTGAGCAACATTCATGTTTTTTCTTTGTCAATTTTGCTCTCATTATTATTATTATCATCATCATTTGAAACACAACAAGATGAGTCAACAGCAGGCACACTGCTGGATTATTATTATGTAAATGAAAAGAAGTGCAAGAAAATGTAAGTATTATCCACTGCTACTTTTCAGAATTTTTGGGGGAGGGGGGTTCAAGACCTTGAGGACCATATACAAAACATTTTAAAATGGCGTCCTAAATATGTTATTGCATTGCTTTATTTGTTCTTCATTAATAGTAGTATGCAACTTGTTAAAAACAATGTGAAACAAGTAACACATTATGATTTTTAAAATGATCTTACAAATTGTTTCATATCATGATTTACAGAAAGGAAGGAGGGGGGAAGACGTTAGGCTCCCTAGGCTAGAACATAATTAACAAACCGCAGTATAATAAGGATATCACATTAGGTCTACATAATTATATCTACACCAGGTCTCTGAGGTATGGAAAAAAATCAGCACTTTGTGTCTATAAAATGCTGCCCTTGCATAAGGAATGTTATAGAGCCAGGAGAAGAATAAAAGAAAACAATTTTGGCTAAACTTTTTACAGTTGTCCCAATGATTTGTAAGACCAATCTGTTTTATAACATAGTTTTGACTTGCTTTGACTTGGCATATGCCATTTTGAAATGAGGCATGTTCTCATTTAAGAAAGACAGGAGGAAAGCTTTGGCTATTGTATTTCTAAAATACAACAGTTTTCCATTTATACTGTATTTCCATTTATATTACTTTTTGAGTCAAGTTTTAGGCAGTTCTACTTTTTACCACCATTTGTTTTTTAAAATGGCAGCAACATACAATATAATGTTGCAGCAAAACAATTAAGCAAAACCAGGGGCTAATGCCCTGCTATAAAGCTGTTCAGAAGAAATCATGACAAAAATTCATAAATTGAAGGAAAAAATATTAATGAGTGAGAATGGTTATTTCATTGCCTTTAACTGATTATTTGAAGCAGACATTCACATTAAATGGCTGTCATAGAAATGGCATATGATAGGTGAAGAGACTTCTGAAGTTCAGCTTTTGCAACAATAACTAAAATGAAAGGATATAGCAGAACAATGACAAAATACACTATTGTCCCACCATCTTTCTGTGCTTTCATTGTTGGTCTCCACTGAAAGACAGAGTGAAGGAAAGTAGGCTGCATCAGAAACAGGTCCTTAGCTCAAAGGAATGACCCTTCAGCAACACATTCTAGCCAAAAGAAGGCTGATCTTGTACAGATTTAAGGCTTTTAGTGGACTGAAGAGTAGGAAAAGGCATGCCACTTGTATCCTTTCATTTACCTGTGCTTTCAGTTCTGTTCTATTGAGGACTTTTGAACATCATTCTCAGCTATCAGAGAGATTCCTAGGCAACATGATGGATATGCACTCATGAAAACCTGTATACAATGCACTGACAAGGTGGGTGGAGAGCTCTGACACCCTTGTTTTGCTAGATGGCTCCCTCTCTGCATCTTTACACGAACTCCAAATAACACAAATGGGTAACACATTGTGTCTTAGAATATTCAGAGCTTTCTGAATAGATGTAGTATCTCCTCAATGACATCAGCATTATTCTAGCCTTATACTGAAGATAGGTGGTAGCAGTAAGGAGGTAAAAGTGAGGCTAAGCAAGTATGGTTTGTTCTTGTGGGTTTTTTCGGGTTATATGGCCATGTTCTAGAGGCATTTCTCCTGATGTTTCGCCTGCATCTATGGCAAGCATCCTCAGAGGTGAGGTCTGCTGGAACTGGGAAAAAAGGGTTTTATATATCTGTGGAATGACCAGGGTGAGACAAAGGGCTTTTGTAAGTTGGGCTTGCCTAACTTGCCTAACTGTAAGTATGGTTTGCCTAAACTAACCAGCACATTTACCAAATAAAGCAATGACTTATTGATTTTCTAGCTTCTTTCTTTAAAAAAAATATTATACTGCTTGCGACCCCCTTTTCTGAAATGCTAATGACCAGTAGTATTGGGGATTTTGGACTTTTTCAAGCTTTGGAATATTTGCATATACATGATGAGGTGTCTTGGGGCCTTATTACACTTGAGCATTTTCCCATTTCAATCCACTTGCCTCCTGCAGAATTCTGGGGCTTGCAGTTTAGCCACGCCCAGGACTTCTCTGGATGAGCAGTTTAACCCCCGCTCCAAACTACAAACACCAGAATTCTGCAGGAAGCAGTCACAGCATTTAAAGTGGATTGAAGTGAAAAAATGCTCAAGTGTGATGAGGCCCTTGGAGATAGGACCCCGTTTTAAAACCAAAATTGATTTATGTTCCATATATAAATTATACACATAGTCTAGTGGTAATTTTATACATAATATTTTAAATATTTTTGTGAATAAAACCAAGTTTTTCTACACGGAACCATCAGAAAACAAAGGTTTCATTATCAAAGCCGTACATGATGACAATTTTGGATCTCAGATTTCTAAATAAGGATTTCTCAACCCTGTAAGGCTTTCTATAATCAAAATTAATTTACATTTGAGATTACAACTTTTGAAATGAATATTCATATTTTAAAATCTGGTCAACATATCCACATACATATATTTTTAAAGTTATGAAAAGAGACATGAGCATATAACCTTTCCCCACTTAAATAGTTGTGACACAATATTAATTCACTATGTACTTTGGTTTTGCCCTAATAGCTTCTGTTTTATTTTTTAATTAAAATTAATAAGGCAGAACTATCGCTATTCTTTTTGTAGATAATAAAGTATTTTATTTTCTAGCATGATGCATCCTAAATTGGAATGTTTCTCCTAAGCGCATAACATCTATGTGTAATCTTTTATACAATGACTGCATTTTGGTAATGAAACAACACAGCCATAATAGCTAACAAAAATTTCCTTTGTTATGTATATAATGAACACTACATAGTTGCTTGATTAGTTTGATCAACATTCAACCAGTAAATATACTGTAGATGAGGAAATTTGTAGCAAGCTGCAACTCCCATCATAGCTTGCTACTGGGGCAGATGGGACTTGCATTCCAACAACATCTGGAATACCAGACATTACCCAATCCTGGTGTACAATGCAATTCAGAAGGTCTAATCCAAAAACCAAATCGAAATATTCTTAAAACAATAATCAGATGACGAAGTTCATTTCTACTATCTACTGCACTGCTGCTATTAAATACAAATGAGATAGCAAAGAAGTTAGCAATAAGAATCAGATAAATTACTACAAATTTGCTATGTACCATAGACCAATACTTTCAAATAGCAGATCTTTCCGATCCAATATTCAAAATTAAAATCAAACACAGAAGAAAAGGTCAAGTGTGACTTCAAGAGCAAACATCTGATCTATTCGATAGTGCTTTTATGAAATCTGTAGACATCCAATATATCATTCTGCAGAAGAAGCGAAGACATTTCAGAGGTTGGGTTATGAAAAGTGTAGTCTATGGACCACACACAGACCCTGAAGTACCTGGAATTAATAATAATAATAATAATAATAATAATAATAATAGTATTCTGCCCTATCTCCCCAAAGGGACTCCTCATCCCCCAAAACTTTTAAAATCACCTTCAAACTGTCAAGGATCAAAAGTGATGTGACACTTCTTTAGATGCACCACTGATTCACAAGTG